CTGATTTTAAAAAATAGCATAAATTTACCCTGGGTTGTTTGTGGTGATTTTAATGAAATATGTTTTCCTCATGAAAAATGGGGCGGGAACCCGCATCCCATAAACCAAATGACTTTACAAAGACATCATGGACAAATGTGACCTTATCGACCTTGGTTTTACGGGTCACAAATATATATACTTGGTTTAACAAGAGAAAGAAAAAGCCAATTTTTGAACGTTTGGATAGAATCCGGACTACCCATACTTGGATCCAAATGTTTCCTAAGGCGGTGGTCCAGAATCTACCTAGACTGAGTTCTGACCATAACCTAGTTTGCTGGGCCTTGAGAAACTGGTGGAAATTCCGGGTCAAAATATGTTCAGATTCGAACCAATGTGGTTAGGTGACCCGGATCTTGACCCGTTTGTCAAAATAAACTAGGTTGGATCCAATAACATTTTGCTAGAAAAGTTAAAGTCCTTCTCTTCTAAGACCTTACTTTGGGCCAAAACTGTTTTTGGATCTTTAAATCAAAAAATAAAGTCCACTATGGCTAGAATTGTAGGGGCCCAAAAGGCCCTTGAGAACGACCCAACCAATTCAATACTTTCCTTTTTGATTTAGAGTGCTCCTTAGATGTTGAGCTCAACTCCTTACTAGAATAAGAACAAATGTATTGGTTGGCTCGTTCCAGATCGGATTAGCTTGTAAGTGGTGACATAAATACTAAATTCTTTCACTTATCATCCACACTCCGGAAAAAAAAAGAAATAGGATTTTTTTCCTTGAAAAATGATGTGGGTGAATGGCTGTCTGATCCTAATAGTATCCATGACCACATTATTTCTCATTTCAGTTCTCTCTTTTCTTCTGATCACATCTCTTTACCTGCCTCCCCGACCCCCTTTAACTTAATCTCCTGTGCTTCCCTTCCTTCTATCTCTGAAATTAGGGAGGTTTTATTCTCTGTGGGTGCTCTAAAAGCACCTGAAGAGGATGGCTTCCATGCCCTCTTCTTTCAGCATTTTTGGGAGTATGTAAAGGAGGACTGCCAGTAGTTTTTAACATCCATTTTTTCAAAAAATCTATCCCACCTTCAATCAATAAGACAATCATTTGCTTGATCCCAAATATTGATAACCCCACCAAAATAACCAACTTTTGACCAATTAGCCTTGTTAACTCCTGTTATAAGTTCCTCTCAAAAATTCAGGTAAATAGAATCAGGCCAAAGCTTGATCAACTCATATCCCCTAATTAGAATAGTTTCTTACCTGAGAGAGGGACTGATACAAATTTCATAATTGCTTCTGAAATCATCCATTCTTTGGAGAGAAAGAAAAAGGGTAGGAAATGAGTGTTTGCTTTAAAAATTGATTTGGAAAAGACTTATGATATAATGGAGTGGCCCTTCATTTGTCACTGCCTTCTCTACTTCAATTTTGACCAAGATTCTGTTGATCTTATCATGAGTTGTATATCTTCTGTCTCCTCTTCCATCCTCATAAATGGAAATCTATCCTCTTCTTTCACCCCTTCAAGGAGTTTAAGGCAAGGTGACCCTATTTCACCTTACTTGTTTATAATCTGTATGGAGTATCTATCTAATATGATTCATAAACAATGTGAGGATAAGAGTTGGTCACCTTTCAGATTTAGAGGTGGCAAAACTCCCATTTCCCACATTCTCTTTGCAGATGATATCGTTCTTTTTGAACATACATCCCACAAAACCTTAAAATCCCTGTCTAGCACTTTCAATAGCTTTTTCAATATGTCAGGGCAAAAGATGAACGATCAAAGAGCTTCGACCTCTTCTCTACTAATACCCCCAAGCCATGATTGATGAGTTTGAGCAGGAACTAAACATCACTGCAACTTCTGACCTTGGGAAATATCTTGGTTTCCCCTTAACACTAAAGAAACACTCTAAAAGGAACCTCCATTTCATCATTGATAAAGTGGGCGCCAGATTAGCCTCATGGAAATCTAACATGTTGTCTAGAGCTGGGAAGGCAATTCTCATTCAGTACACCCTCCTCTCCATCCCTAGATATTATATGCAAGTCCTTCCCTTTCCTTCCTCCATTTGCAAAAAATTTGGACTCTATATGCTCAAACATCTTTTGGGGGAACTTTCAAAATGGAAATAAGATCTCTTGGGAAAATATCTGTCATCCCAAAGAAGATGGGGGTTTGGGTTACTCCAAACATGAGATGATCAATACTATATCTCTAACCAAACTATGTTGGTCTATCTATAACAACAAAGGGTAGGAAGCAAATTTGCTTAGGGAGTAATATAATGATAACAAGCACCACCCTACTCCCTTTAACAAAGGATCCCTGGTCTGAAAAGGAGTAGGAAAAGCTTGGAGCCTATATAAGAAAAGTCTAGTGTGGGATGTTGGAAATGGGAATGATATAAACATATGGGATGACAGATGGCTGCTGAATCAATCCCTTAGGGAGATGCTTGTTGACCCCATCCCTCAAAACAAGCTCTCTCTTAATCTTGCCCACTGTCAGTGCAACTAAAAAGCTCAGCTAGAACAGTTGTTGTCCTTTGAGATTATTGATCATGTCTATGAAGCTTTCAATTTTATAGTGCTATTTGAGGAACCAGACAATGCATACTCTAGCTAGAATTGCAAAGGAAAATTCCAGGCTTTAAAAGCTATAGTTGAAGCTTTGAAATGCACCCCTAGTAACCTGCCTTCCTTTGACTGGAAAAAAAACCGGAAATTGAACATCCATCCAAAAATCAAATTGTTTTTATGGCAACCCACTTGGGATTGAATGGCCTCAAACACTAACCTCCACTAAAGAATCCAACATATTCCCCCTTTTTGAGCTTTCTGCCCCTCTCAAAAGGAATCCCTCATTCACCTATTCTTTTCTTGTCCTCGTGCACAAGATTTTTGAATCAAATCCCTTTACCGATTCCTCTTCAATCCTGTATCCCATGGAAAAGTTGGATATGGCGGAACATCAACCTCTCTGCTGCTAGTATTCATTCTATCCCTTGGAACATCCTTTTTTCCTTCACCCTTTGGCATATTTGGTTAAGAAGAAACGCTTGGATCTTTAGAAAAAAAAATAAAAAATACCCCTATCAATCAAGCTTTCCTCCAGTGCATTTGGCTGCAACTGAATGTTAATTCTCACTAACTAACAAATTAGAAAGTCTCAAGCCCTATTACTCTGCCTGGTCCCCCCTCCTTTCCCTCCTTAAAGATCAATTGCGATGCTTCTTTCATTAATGCCACAAAACAGACTGGTGTAGGTACTATCTGCAGAAACTGTACGTAAGAGTGATTGGATTGAAAGGTTGGCTTGGAAGGAGTACATCCCCACCAGTTTTGATGCAGAGCTCAAAGCTATTCACCTTAGCATGCTGTGGGTGCGACAGAAACGATGGAACAATGTTATAATATGCACAGATTCAAAGCGCGTAGTGGAAGAGATTACAAAGATTCAAATTTCTGCTAACTATCCTAATCTGATTAAAAAATGTAGGGCCCTGCTAAGGGAGCTTCACCTTCAGGAATTGCACTTTGAAGATTGAGGAACTAACTCAGTAGCAGACCCAGTGGCAAAAGATGCAAGGAAGAAGTTGGAGATAGTGAATCAAACTTGTTTTTTGTATTATCCTCCTCCAGTTTGTATTGTGGCTTTTGAAAAAGAGCGATACTCTAAACATGTAAACCAAACCTTTAATTTAGCTGGTGATGTCCTAGCTTTGAACCTTGGAGATGTAATTCACTCTTTTAACTACGTTTAATCCTATGCATCTTTATTTAAAAAAAAAAAAACCCTTGTAGTGTAAACAAAAGTTTTTTATTTTTATTTTTAGGATGTAAAATAAAGATGTTAAGCATAAGTAGTTGTTGTAATTAATTTGGATCCTTTAAAATAACAGTAAAAAAAATTGTATGAATAAGTACTTCTGTCGTACATCATCTAATCTTATCCTTATGAGAAGTTTGTACCTTGTATTTTTATTGATTAACATTGAAAATAATTTGTGATTAATGTACTAATTTAAAGAAACTTATTATTATTCTTATACTAGATGAAGCCCGTGCGATGCACAGTTTGTTTGAAATTTTTAAATAAATTTTTTAATATATATATATATATATATGCACTAAAATTTGTTATATATTTAGATAAAATTCCTGATATCAAAAGATAATATTTTATATTTAATTAATTTAAATTGGAAAATCTCATTCGTCAATTTTGCTTACGCGTCATTTAAATTATTTAATTCTAATAATCTCGTATTTAATTAGATACCACTAAAATTTATTATCCTACATGGCGCGCTGAAAAAATTAAATCCTGCGTGTCTATCTAAAAATTCGGGGAAAAAAACCCCATATATATATATATACACACTAGATTATTCAATTAATTTAAGGTTTTTGGCGAAATGAAAATAAAGATTATTACTAAACCGTGCATCATCCCGGTAATATAATAGATATAGTATCTATTCTATAAAGGAACAAACGCTGACATCATATTGTCCACGTGGCGACTTTATATGAAAAAATTTCCCGCCTAAATAAAAATCTGATGTCATTGTATTTTCTTTGGTTTTAAATTTCAAATTTAATTTCTCCTCTCAATTTATCTACACTCTTTAATTTATTTATTTTTCTTCTATCACCAACTAATGGTATCTAATACCTCTTTCCCTTATGCTTTGAACAAAATACTTTGATGTATATATTTTTTCTATTTTACAAGTTTAAAATTATTTTTTATTTGCTTAATTAAAATTGTATATTAAAAATCTAACTTTTATGTATATGCTTAAATTTTTATATTTGGTTTGACCTTCTTCAAAATTAATTTTATAAAATTAGTATTTACAACTAATGATTATGTCTCAATAATTTTTCTAATACGTAAGAATACATAAAATTATATACTCTATATTTAAAAGAAATCTAGTTAGGAATCAAACAACATCCTACTATATTACTAATCAAATAAGGTGAATTTCACGAATTACGAGTCATAAACAACCCCTATAAGTTTAACATAGTGAACCCTCTTACGTCTAATTTTCCCCCCTTCGGAACTTTTTCACCAGTAAGCTGCGACGCTCCACCCCTCCCTCTCTCTCACCTCCATTGAAACGCGCTCTGAATCTCCATTGAAGCGGTTTGATAGCTCTCTCCTCCATTGATTAAGCTTCTGAGGTAATAGTTTTTCTTAATCATTGAAAATGTTTAAATATAAATTTCTCAATCTAAGGGTTTAGTTCCACACTTTCGGTAATTTAATTCTCAGTTTACTCAATTTAGGGTTCTTTAAATTGGATTATAGGACTATTGGTTATAATTTATTTTCGGAAAGATCGTTTCTTGCTAAAAAATTTGCTAATCACATTCTTAACCTACAAGGTGCTAAATCACTGGTTGCCTCAATTGCTTTTGTTGCTAACTCTGTCGCATTCAAAATTTTCTATACTTAACCAGGGTTTTTGGTGACTAATCGGACTCCGTTGAGTAGAAGCTGGTGGTATAAATTCAATAAAATAACATAACTCAACCCAATGCCTAGGTAATGTATTTGCTGTTCTCAAAATATTGATTGAAATTTTTTTGAAAGGTAGTTATTTAGGTTTTATTTTACTTTTGTCGTTAATTTGTTTATGAATTTTTGACAGGTATTATTGTGATTACTGCGACACTTACTTGACACATGATTCTGTAAGTATTTGTTTTATTAAATTTGTTGCGCTTCAAAGTTTGATTATGTGTTTATTTCTTTTTGTCTTGATTTTCTCGAATATTGATTTATGCTTATTGTTTGTATTTTTAACTCTAATTATTGAATTCCAATGTGAGTGTAGTGAAAAACATATAGGAGTTGGCTAGTTTATGTACTTGGCATTTCACTCGTATAATTTGATTCCTGTGTTTGTGTTCGACGTTAAAGATTAGAGTGATGGTTTTATTTCAGTTGTTGGGAGAAGAAATGTGAGAGGGACATATTCATTTGGTGGCGTAGAATATTAGAAAATTTATGTATCAACCCCATGTTTGTTTGGCTGACATATTGTTTTTGCTCTCAGCCATCTGTCAGGAAGCAACATAATGCAGGTTATAAGCATAAGGTAAGCTAGCTTTGCCTCAATAGGCAGTGGAAAGAACAATATTTCCAAATTTGATTCAATTCTACAAAATTCTTAATTGAATAACCTATGCTTTTGATCATAACCGGCAAATTATTTGTGATGGTTATTTGTATTCGATTTTAGGCAAATGTACGGATATACTATCAACAATTTGAGGAGCAACAAACGCAAAGTTTGATTGATCAGAGAATCAAGGAGCATCTTAGTGGCCAAGGTGCTTTTCAAATTGGTGCTGCCTATGCAGCATGGAGACCTGGTGTTAGACCACCTATTCTTCCTGCACCATTGCCGATTCCAGGTTCCCTGCCTCCCAATGCTCAAATGGCTCCAGGGATCAGGCTACCTGTTTTTCCTAGACCTCCTGGTTTTCCGGGTAAGTTGATGCTTTCAATCTTTATTGTTTTCTTATGTGGTCAAATATTTTATCTTATGGAAAATTACATATCTTTTAATATTCAGTTACATTGCATGTTTCCTTATAAATTCTGACTGCAAGATAATCAAAGAAGCTTAGTGAAAACATAACTAAATAATCAATTAACTGATCAGCATATGATGCTTAAGGATTCAAATGGGATCATACCACTGATGAGATATCAAGATATGTAGGTCTGTAGCTGGACAATCAAATATGTAAAACAAAGTATCATGAAAGTTGCACCTGTTTAGAAAATAAGGATCTGAATCAGTAATGAACTATATATACATGTAAAAAAGGGAAAGGATCCTTTGTGCTATCCTAGATTAGGAATAGGCTTTCTTTCCTCATGATTGTTGTCCCTATGAGAGGCATATTTTTACCAGAAAATGTCCCATTTATTTATAGGCTTTACAACATACTATTCACTTCAGCTAGGGCTCTAAGGTATTTAGAATATTTCTTTGAAGGTTCTCTTATTGCTATCTTGTGGTCACTATGACCTTTTTTTATTGATCAGACTAGAGAGTAATTTGACCGGGGATTTCAGATTGGTTCTAGTTTTCATGTAGAATGCTAAATGTTGTAGCACTTCTTGTTAACTAGGTTGTGTCAAAATTTAGCAAATACATTGAACATATGTGCATGGCTTCATTGTTAGCGACTCAATAAGTCCCTTATTGTTGGTCAGTTCTACACAACCATAAACTTAATAATTCACTGAGCTTGGTCTTTTAGAAAGAAACAATCCAAAGTGATTGAGAAAGGTTTCTATTCTTTGAGAGCATTTGTTGGAGCCAATTTTATCTGGGTGTGGCTTAGGACTCAATGGATTAGTGGTGGTTTCAAATCGAAGTGTAAGGGTTTGAATCCCTTCTCAACAACAACCTATGGCATGAGTTTATATGCAACTCAAGATATGTGTTTCAAATGATCTAGTTTGGGTCATGATTCATGAACTGTACAATGTTTAAAAACCTAGAAACTCAGATTAAGGGTATTGTTAAAGGAGGGGATAGAGAGAGAGAGAGAAAGAGGAGGGGGGGGGGGGAGGTGTCTGTGTTGCTTTTTCGCAGAGATGGAAGGTTTTTTTTTTCCTCCTTTTTTGTTCTTCAAGTGCATACAAAATTACTCAGTAATTTTATTCAACAAAATACTTGGTTTAGTTGGATAGAGGGAATGCTATGAGGAGATAGATTGAGAGAGTTGGATAGAGAGACCGATGTGATGCGGTGATTGCTAGAGTGAGATACATAGAGGGACCCATATGATGAGGGGATTGATAGAGTGAAGTACATAGAGGGACCCATGTGATAAGAAGAGAAATAGGGAAACCCATTATCAGCACAAAGTAATGTTAGACATTTTTTTTGCAACCTCCTAAAAGTGAAGTGTTGCAATAATTTAGTAACAAAGGAAATAATTTTGAACATTCAATGTACAATGGCACTTCTGACTCAAGTGTTGTTAAATTCAATGGACTTTTAAATCAATGGTATTGTTTTGAGCCTTTGCTAATCAAGGTTTGGAAGGATAACTTTATGCCGTTAGTCAATCCCTGTGTTACCTAATTATCTTTCTCCCTCCACAAAGTACATATTAAGTTGTTTGTTCCAAATCGCAGTTTGTAGGTGCCAATTTAATCAGGTGCATAAGCTAGTTTGTCCAAATTGACATTACTAAACATGTAGTTGTCACCTTCTGTTTGTAGACGGTAGATTAAATGCAATGAAAGGAACACAAATCAAGGGGACTTTGAGATCTAGAGTTTGAGAAATGAGCCCTACTTGTGTTTATTGAAAATGAAATACTCCTTTCGTTCCTGAAAGTTCGTCTCACTTTACATTTGCACGGTCTCCAATTAACATCTTTGATCATTAATAACTTCGGCTATGTATAAGTAAAATGTTTAAAAAATTGATATTTGAAATATTTATCATCAGAGGAATCTAATAAGATCAAACTTGCTAATATATTTTATTTTGACTACATGAATAGTAAATGAGTCGAACTTTTAGGAACGTAGGTAGTATGTGAAATATATTGTTCAAAATGTTGGGTCTTTTTTAGGGATGTTCATTGAATAGAATATCTGGGTTTTTTATGTCATTAGTGTGGTCAGGCATGAGAGATTAGTTGTCTGCTCCGGTGATGGTGGAGTGGCTTTGATTTATCGCTAGGGAAAATTATAAATATGCCTGTTATATATTACTGTATCATTTTTCCTTAGTATTATAAATTTTGTATAATGAGTTCATACCTATGACCAATAATGATCCAAAAAAGGATACCCAATAAATCACCCACAAGGCCACAAATTATAAAATCACCCACCTGCAATTGCAATCCTGTTCTAAGAGCTGAAGCGTCTCCAGATGAGGTAACACTGGTCAATTCTTTTCATTTTGAACAAATGATTATGGATGATAGTTTGTGGAATTTGTATGGGGATTAGAGGACAAAGAGATCTTGTGCCGGTTCAGACTGAAACTATACAAGATTAGCAAATATGTTTTAACTTTTTGGTAATATAGTAATATACTGATATGCTGTACTTGTTAACTAATACTCTAGAATTGGCTTTGTGTTCACAAGTATGTTGTTTCTGCAGTAGATCTTACATGCTTACCTGAAGTATTGTATATTCTTGGTTTTGCATTTTCTTTGTTGCATCAGTTATTGAAGATGAGCATAAGTTTAATTGCATTACAGGAGGGTATTTGTTTTTTGTTTTGCTATTTTCTGTCTCATCACTTATTGTACTCTTGTTTTTTTTTTTTTTTGTGGGGGGGGGGGGGGGGGGGGGTTAAATTCTTTTAGTTAATTAACAGCTCCAAAATGTTTACAGTTTATGGGGCACCTCCAGGACAAGTTGTGGGACAACCAGGTGCTCCTGGTGCACCAGTGCAAGCAAATGGTCCACCTGGGCCACCTCCTTTGAATACCTCAACATCAGTACCAGGAGCAACGCCTCCTGTTACTAATGGTGGTGCTCCAACTGCATCACAGCCTGGGTTCCAGGGTGCTCCTGCTGGCGGGAGCTTTGGAGGGACAAATATGCCTGCTGTCTCTAGCTTTCCTTCTGCTGGTGGAAATGTTTCTTATCCTGCAACTTCAGGTGCTGACGGATTTACTTATGGTCAAGCCCCGAACAACAGTCTTCAATCTAACTGAAATGGTATGTCTGGAACATATTCTTGCATAATATACTTTGTATTGGTTATTTATTTATTTTTTTCACATGAAGCTTGCTATTTTCTTATATTATCTCATTGAATAATAGAGTACTCTGTATTAAACAAGTGACAAAGCTTTGATTTCAAATCCTGTACAAACTCCTTGGAGGCCACACTCTAGTCCAAAGTGTGATGATTTGAGAAAACATTTTTGTTTGTGTAGTTTTATTTCATTTCAGTCTCTATATTTGAATAAGTAAATCACAAAGACATTTCAGAGCCATTACAATTTTAAATGCCTTGGTGATGCAGGACATTGGATTCAGGATGAGATGTATTTATACCTCAAGGTTGTAGATGCCGGGCTCCTGTGTGTTTTTTTTTTTTTTTTTTTTTGTTTTGAACTCTTTTAACATATGGAGATTAGGGAGCATCGATATATTACTCGTACTTGTTAACATGAGGAGGTGTGGAGGAATTGGCTGGATATTGTCGTATAGCTTTGCGCCCTTGTCTTCTAATCAATTTGCTGTGACATGTAAAACATATGGAGTAGCTAGAGCAATTAATATGTTTTGGTCCTTTCTACCATATTGATGTGCTAGTGTGCTTTGAAATATGCAAATTGTCAAGGCGTAATCAGCTGAAAATTACCAGTTTCACATTTGTAGCTTGTGGCATAACAATTATGGAAAGTATTAGACAATTATGTTTCACATCTCTTGCCTTGAAATTTCATCGATTAACTGTTTTTTTTTGTTACAAAACAATTAAAAATACTATTTTTCTTTTTATAGTAAATTTAATTCTTAATAAAAAAAGTCAAATGACATTAATAAGTGCGAGAGAATGAGAGATGGCCTAACAATATGATATGTTATAAGTCTTATAACCGTGAGGACGAGTATCATCTTATTTATTTCATAGAAAAATGAAAATTTGATAATTGTTGCAATCCTACATAATTCTTTTCCACCAAATCAAATTCACAAATCACAATACTCCTACTCCACAAACACTAAATTAAAATCAAATACTCAACTAATTCCAATATCCCATCATAATGGAAGTCACTACAATAAAATGATGTTAGTTTATCAGTATATCAATATTCATTACTGTAGACATCTAAAAATGTCTCTCCAAAACCAAACCCGATGATGAACAACCTTTCATCGCCATTATTGGCCGGGTTGAGTATTTAATCTTAGAGTGCTTAAATCCATATTTCCATTTCATAAACCAACCCAATTCCTATCCCGTTTCCCCAAACCATAACGTATTTTCCTCTTTTCGTGCCTTTAAACCCAAAATAATTCATTCCGTGTCCTTTAAAATCATTCATTTCGTGTCCTTTTTATAAAAACATTTAATCCAGTTTATTTTGGTCCATAATTTGGATCCAATGACTGAATAGTTGGATGGGGCTTTAAAAGAGCATTCCAACGATATATTATAAGCTCAAATCCGAGTTATAACGAATAAGTTATGGCCAAAATAATAAACTGAGCCCAAATCGAACCTAAGTCCACCTTACCTATGACCCAATGATCATAAGGAGGGTCCAAATGATTTAATCCAATTCCTAAACCAATTAGGATTAATTAGAAGCTTCTATAAGTTTCTATAATATCTTAATTATCCTTTTTGAAAAGATAAGAATAACGAGTTTGAAATTGAATAAAACTTTTCTTTTTGAAAATCCTATTTATATCCGAATTAAAAGACGTTCAAAGATAGATAGATATTATTTTCGTGCATCATATTTTTTATCCAAATTTTATATGGTTGGATATCCCTTGAAATTATCTTTCCAATGATATATTATAATATCAATTCCGAGCTATAACGGAAAAGATATGAATAAAATGTCAAACTCTATCCAAAACTGACACCGTCTCATTATTTCGGCCATATCTTTTATTCTATAAAATATTTTAATCTGATTTTAATTGGGTTAGAAAGTAGACTTCAAGAGCTTTCCAACGATATCTTATTTATCTTATTTCAATTTCTGGATAAAAAGATATGATAAAAACAAAAAACGGAAAAACTGTTGTCTATCGCAAGAGTTTTATCCGATTCGAATTCTTATCTTTTCTTGATTCTTGGATTTCTTTTTTCTCTATAAATAAAGGTCATGTCTCCCCTTTTCCAATAATCAACAAGTTTGATCATCAAATAATTCTCTTCTCCCTCTTTAGCCTAGACACTAGCCTCCCTATTCTTCCATAATACTTCCCCTAAGCACTCCAAGGAGTCCATACTTTACCCAAAGTGCTATACTTTAACCAAAGCGTGAAAGGAATAATTGACTGAGGGTTTGGACCAAATCAACTCTAATTTTAATTTAATTTAATTTTGATTTGATTTATATTTTTATTGAAGATACTAACATTTTATTCATGATGTAGCAATTTCAAGGAACGCGCGGAATGTGAGTAATTAATTAATTTAATTACTCTTATTTTATTTTCTTATTGCTAGTATCATGATTAGGTTATTTTATATTTAATTTGACTAACGATATTATTGTTAAATTGCTTCCAATGTTAATGTTTGTTCTATTATATTTTATGATCACTATATTGCATGTTTAAAGGGAATATGTAATTGAAAATCACGCCTAATAAGATAATTTGGACAGTCGGTTTAGGATCCTTTTTAATCTTGTTGTTTAATCAAGTGATCACGAAATTTTAGAATTATGTGTTGCATTAATATTTAACCAATTTAGCTTAATAATAGGTTGGAGCAAATTGAATCTTTGTTTGTATGCCTTTGAGATCGCATGAATCACTTTTCACTATAAGAATCGAGTAGAGGCCAATACGGGCGAATGTGACTCCATGACTCACTTCGTACCATCATCCCCGATCCTCCTTTCGTGGATCCGAACCATATGGAGTTAGTAATCTCATGGACTATGAATGGGGTGTTACCTTCACGGGTCAATCGTTGTTGTCTATCGTTGTCCCCTTATTCGTGGTTGCCTTTTATGATCCGTGAACGGTTTACAAGTTCCTTAAAAACTTGTTGGCGGCTCCCTACTTTCCTTGTCCCTAATCGTATATGTCAATTCCCACTTCCTATGAGTGCCAAGCATATTCACAACATGCTTTAATGTTGGCGCACTTCGAGCGACGCCTACAATTTGGCGACTCCACTGGGGAGGATTCTTGGTTATTTATCGATTTGAGCGATCGGTATTTAATTAAGATGAGTGGATAAAACTTGAAAGATTCTTGAAAAATATTCCTGTGATTTAATTGGCATTGTCACATATGCATATGCATTTTAGCTTACTTATTTTGCCACAATAGTACATGTTCTACGTATGTGGCTAGCCCGGGGGATTTATGCTCTATCAACTTGAAAACGCTCATGGCAATAAGGGTTCATCCGAGTTTTTAAATCCACCCAAACCATGGAGTCGAGTTCGATTTCATCACAAACTCGCGGAGCTGCCCGTTGGCATACACCCTCAAGGGAGGCTGCCTTGCTAACGCGTCCAAACTCTTAACCATGGTACCCTTTGACACCCAAAAATTTGACCATAGTCGAACATAGAACTTGACTTTAGGTTGTGAATTTCATTGCATCATGCGTGACGATATGCTTATATGTGCATTTTTTTTTATTGAATTTTTTTAATTATTTTTTTTTTTCTCTTATCAAACCTTTTTTTTTATTATTAGAGTCGAGCCATAGATTTTATTTTTATTTTTATTTATTTTTTTATTTTTGAGTCACCCGGATTTTTATTCCCGTATACTGCACAAGAGTCAACTTGTTTTGGTCATTTCCGGAGTTCTAAAATAAGTTACGTGTCATGCCACCTATGGATCTGTAGCCTCGAGTTTTATCTTTGATTTAGAGTTGGTTTCGTCCAAATCAGAGTCACGGATCAAAATTTATAACCGATATACTACAGTCTGTCCAGTTTAGATTTCTTTTTAGCGTCAACTTTCTTTTGTTTTATTTTTTTAAATTTTTTTTATATCTTTTCGTGTCAAGCTAGTATTAGCCAAATCCTTTAATCCGTGCCAACTCATATAACATAGGATTATAGATTTTTATTTTATTTTATTTTTTTTAATACCCTTGAGCCCTAACTCTTCTAGAATTCTAGTACTCTTCCTAGTGCTAACCTTAACATGTGTTCTTTGTCTTTGATTGTGGTTTATCTTATTTATGACTAATGATTTCCAATGGATCGTTTTCACCTAGTAAATAGCATAAACATTAAAATTGGACAAAATTAATCAAGTTAGTTTGTCTTTTATTCTTCCATGCTATTTGGTCATTGGGTCCTTTGTTTTTCACAACGTCCACATGTCTAGCCATGCGATCATACTACGAGTATTAATAAACTCACCTAATCACACATGTTGAGTTGTTTCACACACTTTGTCTTCGAGTAATGCACTATATTGTTTATGATCGTATACTAGGATCATGCATGCATCGTTTTCTGTCGTTAAAAATGAGTGGAGATTTTTCTCACTTGTTTTCAAATGTCTATTTTTTCCCTTCCTTTCCTATCTTGTGCAATGAGTCGAACAATTAAGTGAATTATTTTATTTCATAGTACTTGGTCGAGGAGCAGGGATAGATTAATACGGTTCAAGTCATTACCGCAACAATCTCTCAGATCTAATAGGCGTTCAAAGAGAACTTTGCCATCTCCATTACTCATCACCTTTCAATGGCCACTAAAGAAGATATTGAGAACATAAACAAATCCATTGAGGCACTGTCTGCCATGATGCAAACCCTTACCAATAGGGTCACTACCATGGAACAAAACAAGGTCACTGTTTCCACCCTTGACAAACTGAAGGACCAAATGAGTAAAATTTCTGAGGATTTCACTTATGTGGAACGACCTCCCACTCCTTTGGATGTGAAGGACAGACTCCCTGAAAAGTTCTCGACTGCTGATATTCCAAAGTTCAAGCCTACTGACAATCCAATATTCCATTTGAAGGCGTTCTCTACAACCATGGCTCTTAAGGGATTGGACGTAACACTCTTCCCTACGGTGTTCCCTCTCTCTTTTGAACATGCTTGCCAATAATGGTTTTATTCCTTAGATGCCAAGCATACTGCGACTTGGCAAGATGTCACCGACAGTTTCATGAATCGTTACAAGTGTAATATTCAAACTAAAACTTCTGAACGTGAACTCTCCATTCTCAAACAAAAAGAGAATGAAGGCTTCACCGCTTACCTGAACAGGTGGAGGGAAACAGCTTCACTCTTGGTAGATCCTCCCAAAGAAAGAGAGATGGTTTTCCTCTTTATTCAAAATCTGACTCACAAGTATAGGGAACATCTCAAATTTCTTCCACTGAACACTTTCAAAGCTGTATACGACATCGGCATCAATATCGAGGATGAGCTTATAAAGACTGTTGGTAGTAACAATAATAAAACTTGGAAAAACAAGAAGAACGACCATCCTTCTTTTTCGTCTTCTAAGCACGAAAATACTACCAACAATATAAGCCAAGTTGATCTCAATGAAGTGTTAGCTCTTGATGCTCCATTGCCCAAGAAGAAAAGAACTTACACTCCTTTAGGAATGACTTATAATGCGGCCTTTGATCGCCTCTATAGTCAAGGCTTGATCACACCTATTGGGCCATTTTCAGAGCCAAAACCTGAAGAAAGGAGCGCCAAATGGAATCCCAATGCCCATTGCAAGTACCAT